TGTAAGCACTCCTAGAAGAGTCCCACTTCTCAGACGTCGTCGCACTTCCATAGACGAGAGACCAGTCGGCGTTCACAAGCAAATCATTGAAATAATCAAAATCAACTCGATTCAGGGATGTGATGACATTGGTTTGGCGTTTCCCTTTCGAAAATTTCAGCAATATTCGCGTGAAGTCATGCGGACTATAGTGACAGGCGGTGACACCACAGCGTTGGATGAGGTCCTTGTGATTTGTAATCGTAACATCTAACAGCGAGCCAGCAGGACGGTACGTTGGATAGGAATCGTTACACATATGCAGATTGTAAGACCTTAACAGTTGCATCAATTTCTGATAGCCGGTGCCTGTGCTCGAGCCAATCAGGCTGATGTTTAAATCACCGGCGATCACAATTGGGCAGTCATGTGTGGACATTATACATTGTAACTGGTTCTCCAAATCATCGAGATCATCATACACCTGCCGGGCTGTGTTAGTGGGATGTCGGTACAACGACCCGAAAATAATCTGCTTTGCTTTAGCGGGTCGAACAAGGGTCCAAATAACCTCAAGATTCGATGAACTAGCGGCAGTATGAGGCGTTTTCAGAACAGTCACATCAAACGAGTCTCGCGCCAGAACTGCGACCCCTCCGTAACCCCTAGGCAGTCCGCTGTCTGCAGGCTGGTCGTGACGGTACAGCCGGTACCCATCAATGTTCAGCAGCCGGACGGGGACAGACGGCCGCAACCACGTTTCACTGAGTGCGAGAATATCAAACTGATGCATATCAGTTAGACTGTGACGTATTTGTATCGTATCTAATATCATGCTTTATCATGATATCATATATATATATATATATATATATATATATATATATATATCATATAACATAATATCACATATCATAATATCATAATATCATAGCGTATCAAACTTTGTATGTTTAACTGCGCGATGTATAGTTCACCCGCACGGCATTCACCGGGCGCCCGCCACCTCGCTCCTCCCCTACAGCCCCGGCGCCGCGATCGTTTGCCCCGGCGCGCCGGGCGGCTGCCGCCCGAGTCAGGCCCACGGCCACCAGAGGACCGGCCCGCGCTCACGCCCGCACCCAAGCCGACCAAGGCAACCCTGGGCTCGCCCCTGGCCGCAGCGGTGACCTGGCGCGGTCCGGTCCATGCATTTTGCCCATCTCACCATACTACACGCACTTGTCATGTCTCCGACCTTGCGGAATGTCAGCGGGTTTGCAGTGGCATTTCACTACATGCAATGTTTTTTGTTATACATGAGGTACTATTTGTGTGAACGGTATTTTGGAGTAAAGCAACCTGGTAGCCGCAGCATTTTGCATGACTGTGAAAGCATTGCATTCAATGAAGCAACCTATTTTTGTTTTTTAGCACACTTTTGTTAACTGCAAATGCTGTGAGCAATGCAGTCAGGCTGTGTGAAATATTGATAACAGTTGTTATTTTTTCATTGCACTATCAAAATGGAATAAGTGCTCTCGACGCAACGGAACACAAGAAAGGTGCAAGGCACTGCAGGAAAACACGGTTGATACAGTAGTAAAGCAATCATGGTTTCATTTCCCACCTCTGAAATCTCACTCCAAATGAACGAGTGTCATGCCGCAGTCCACAAAAACGTCGGGTTAGAGTGGCGTTTTTATCTGACGTAAAATTTTCCGTCCCCTTCCAACTATGGCGCAGTGCCTCACCAGACATCGTCTCACAAATAATTTTATAATGCTCAAACAGTCCCACTGTCCCCTTTTTCGTGACGTATTTTCCGTGCCGTTCTTTTTTTACCAGACGGCTTATAACATCCGGTGACGTCAAATTGAACTAAAAAACGTCAGTGGCGTTCTTTCTTATAATATTGGCCACATGAGACGTGAAGCTCATGGCTGGATCTGCTGGCCTGCAAGATGTCACTTAAAAGGACCTACTGAGTCGTGCTGTGTATGATGTTCATAAGAAGCCCTGCAAGATGCAGGAGTGCGATAATTGTCGACGTTAGGGATGTTGTGCGGTCGTTTTTCATTAACGCGATCGATGCACAGGTAGAGGACATTTTGCATTCGGTCAATGAAATCAGCTGTAACCGGTGGGTGGGCACCGACCGCTGTACTTAAACTGAACTTGTCCTGCCAATCGATGAGGTTTTTTTGACTAAGTTGCCAGAAGCCATAGCTGCAGTGACCAGACATTATTTTACGCCCCAGCACCAGCATAAATTTTTCAATGACGCTTAAAACGAGTGCCCGAAAACGAAGCCTTGACAATTTGATACTTCTGAAACTTCTGAAAACTGAGACTCCTGAAAACTACACTTCTGTCGTCCAAAGCAAAGTTCAGCAGTTTCGTTGGGATGCAGCACAACGCACGCTGCGTCATTTCGTAGTTTGTTTATCAGAGCCTGGACAAATTACGCATACAAGTTATTGCATGCTGTCAGGTGCGATGGAACATAATGCTATTGTGGTCCATACATTTCTACAGTGCCTTTTACAGGAAATGAAAAAAGCCTCGTTTCAATTATAGAAAAGTGCATTATTGTTCAGATGGATCAATTGCGCACAACAAGAAAAGGTTCAACTATAGTTACATCTTCGTTCAGGAGGACCTTGCGTGAAGCTCGAGCGGCAGTACCTTGCCATCTCCCCTGGGAAGGGCTCCCGCGCCGGGCTTGGGACCTTGAAAAGCGTCGCCGTCGGCGCCAGGCTGCTGCGCCTCCTCCCGAGCACATTCTCTCTGCCGATAATCCATACCGGTTCTTGCAAGGCAAGGCTAATGTGCAGGCATTGTGTTTTGTGGTACCAAAAAGAGTAGTTCTTCAAGCAGGTAGTAAGCCTTGTATCAGATTGGCTGTGAAAGGACCAGGTTTCACAGAGTAACCCCAGTGAGTGCTCATACTGTCATTGTGCGTCAGTTAGATTGAGGCGTCGGGAGGGAAGCAGCGGTGACTTGATTTCAAGAGTTTTTATGATCTCGAGTGAGTTAGCCCCTTTCACTGCGCATTAAGTCGACCTCCACATGCATGCGACCCATCTTGTTAAGCCTAGTGCTTTTTCACTATGCGCTCATTTTCCGCCGCCTGTGCGGAGAGGCGCGCAGTAAATGCTGCACCGGAAGTCAACGGCGGATGGCGCGAGTGAAGCGTCATTTCTTATTGTGACATTCTTTCCAATCCTTTCCAAGCCAATAGCCACCTTCTTAAGTTTTGGACCAAGGGGTTCAATCTACGTTCTTTCACATACAAGTGAGAAAAGGCTCAAATCGTCAAGGGAAACGGGTCTGGGTGTATTGCAAATATTCATAAGGCCACAATATTTTCTTTTGAGTGACGATTCCAACCGCAAAACACACGCAGTCTGGAAAGTTTTCACATCATTTTTACGCGTAGGTTTGCATGTTTTTCTTCCATCTTGGTAAACAAAAAATCGCCGCCGAACGTAGCCCTTCAATCACACAACACAAAAATGCCGGTGGCTGCTACCCCGGAACATCTCAACTGAGAGGCCTGAAAATGTCACAAGTGTCTTCAGCGCTGTGACAGCCCCTCTTACCCAGCTAAGCTAAAATCCGAGAGATGAGGGTGTACAATTGGCACTCAAAAATGAGCGTGTATTAGTCAAAACAAAAAACGTTAGTTATATTTCAATTACTTTATATCATTTATAATGGCAAATAGTAAAGTTAACCTATTATCACATTTTATCGCCCCACAGGCAAGATAGTAATCGATGCACGCGCATTAAAGGCAGGACAGTGCCGCCTAGGTCACTTCTTGAACAGATTCTGTACGTTTTGAGTGACGGTAAAAGAAGAGTGAAAGTATTTCCTATCATCATCGGTAGTCATCATCGGTAGTCTAACGTAATAGTCATTTGTCAGTTTCAGAGTCGCCGAACTTTTCTAAAACCAACCAGCAGAAATGCATCAAAGAACTCTCTGAATGCAGTGGGCACACAATTAACCGTAATAGCTCCTTGCTTGGGTGGAAAATACTGGTGCACCGATGCATTCGAGATCAAAATTATATCGGCGCGAGATTTAAGAGACGCATTGTTCACAGCCTCGTCGCTGAAATCAACGACGCCAGGAAGCCGGGCGGCTCGTGAAGACAAGCTAGCGACGCCAGGAAACCGGGCGGCTCGTGAAGACAAGCTAGTAACAGGCTTGCTTGTGAAATGGGATTTACATAATGAATGCAAATGAGACCAACTAAAGGAACTAAACGAATGTAAGGCATCCCGTCCTTGTCGGATGCACTAACTCCATCGTTCGTACCAGCCGGGACAGAGACGGGAACAGGGGCAAAGGAGTCGTTCGCACCAGTCGGGACAGAGACGGGAGCAGGGATAAGGGAGTCGTTCGCACCAGTCGGGACAGAGACGGGAACAGGGTCAAGTGAGTCGTTCGCACCAGTCGGGACAGAGACGGGAGCGGGGGCAAGGGAGTCGTTCGCATAAAGTCCTTGTTGTTTAGACATGTCACAATCATATGCTGTGACTGTGCTTTCAAAGCTGCTGCGGACACAGACTAGCAAGACATCGTGTAACTGAATGACGACAAAATAGCAATGCCTATAACAAAACACGAAAATACTGGTAGCAGAAGTAACAATATCCGCTGAATACGCGGAAAGATCCCGCATTTGGCTCATAACCGTCTTTCTTTCGTCACATCGCTTTCAACGGCATCATTGCATGCACTCAGTGCCAGCGCATCAAGTTCATGACGGGCATGTGCATCAGAAACAAATTCTCCCCATCCCAGCGGTCTATGACACGTCACCACTTTCCCATGGCTTTGCGCTACGCGCGCACAGATGTCTCTGCAGAAAAGGGATTATAATCTGCAGCGGCGGTACTGTGCGCACCTGATCAACTGTGCGATAGACCACCCCTCGAATGCAAGAATTTTCAGCAGCGGAGGGCGTGGTTGCAGCGGTGGAGTATAAAAGACAACGTTGCAGAGAAAGCATTATCAGTTTTGCCACCAGCGACGGCGTCAGCAGATATGAAGGTGAGCCTGGTGCCTTTAGTCGCTGAACTGTGTTGAAGTAGTGGAAGATGGCGATGATTGAAATTTTGTGTTTAAATGGCACAACATGCATCAGGGGCTTTCGCCAGGGCTGCAGATCAACGAACTGGATGACAGTTACCAACTTTGATCCGTCAACTCTAGCTTGTTCAGCCATGACGTGTTAGAGCCAGGTAAATCGCGCTCGGCGCGATCAACTTGCACTAATTAATTCCAAATATATGAAGGGCTGTTGCTGAAAAGTTTCGCGGGTGAAAACTTCCAAGTCCTCGCACTCAGCTTTACGATATCCATTGCGCTACTCCGCTGCGGTGCCCCAGTGCGCCAGGGCCTTCGCCTCGCGCTGACTGGGTCCCATGCTGTGCCTCCAGCTGATCATCCTGACTACCCTCGTGGCCGCTGCCGCCGCCGGCGCCATCGGCAACGTCGGAGGATATGGCGGAGCAGCCGGCTTCCCGCACGGGGGCGTCGACTACTACGCTAAGCCCGACTACAACTACGCATACTCTGTGAAGGACCGCTACTCCGGCGTCAACACCGACGCGCATGAGAACCGCTACGGACACCAGACCGAGGGCTCCTACGGCTCCAACCTGCCCGACGGCCGCAGGCAGGAGGTCAAGTACTGGGTCAACGGCAACTCCGGCTTCAACGCTGACGTGCAGTACTATGGGGTGGCCGTGCACCCCAAGACTCCCATCTACCGCCAAGGCTTCGGCCTCGGCAACGTCGGCTATGGCAAGGGCTACGGCGGCGGCTATAACGCCATTGGTCATGGCTATAATCCTTACGGATACGGGCACTAGTAAAAACGTGAACCAAACGAGTATAAGAACTTCGTGTTTGTCCTGTGTCGTATGTTGTCACACGCCTAAATACCATCATGTTTGTCCTGTGTCATCCGTTGTAAAAGTATGCTATTTATGAAAGCGTAAGTCACTGTGCACGAGTGATGAGCATTATCAATAAAACGTCAGCAGCCAGAATGATGAGTGGCTTGAGATCGGTCGCGATGACATTCAACAAAACTTCGCGGAAAAACAGCCATAGCGCAAATCAGACAGCTTGATGAAACTTAAATACATCCGTGCGTGCCGGGTTTCGGGACGTTCAGCAACATGTGCGACAACATGCGCAGCAACACGATCAGCTTACAGTGCTGCATCCAACGTGGTTTGAATGGGACATTAGTATTTAGCACCGAGCAGCCTCATGCGGCAGGTTTGTTGTATTCAACACAGGGTCATTCCCATTTCGGAAAATGACTGGTTGATATCACCAATCTTTCACTGGCCGATGGTAAAAAAGTCATTCCGTGCATTTGTCCTGCTTATACACTGTCATACTGTTTGGTTTGTAGCGCATCGGATGCTTTCCTGGTCCTGTGTGAAGGTTAAGTTTGCTTCAAAATGAGCACGCCAGGTAGCAGCAGGTAGCTGATCATGCTATGCGTCAGTGGTTTGTCTGGTCGGTGGGGTGACGTCACGTCGGTGGGGTGACGTCACGTCGGTGGGGTGACGTTTTATGGATCCAATGCTCGGCCTGCTCTTTGTGGAAAGGGAGCGCGGTTCAAACAATATCAGAGAACGTTGTGGATGCGGCTCACATGTTCTGGTCTGGCTCACCCCACAGAGCTTGACTGCAGCAAACATAATTTGTCGTAGGGAAGTGTGGAAAGAGGCATGAGCCCAGCATGCTAAAGAAAATTTTGTCGGCTTTACTAGTCACGGTTGCTATACAGGCTTCGGATCTTTGTCGTTACCATTTGCCTTTTCAACCTGCTGGAGCAGGTGCACGAAAGGTCCCCTCATTAAGTCAAATATCTATTAACTTAAATGGCTTATGCTATACATATGCGCATATCAATGTCAGCATTGCATCGGTAAAACATGAGCACCACCATCAGCAACAAAACACATGTGCAAGCGACTTAATCAGTTCGAGATTTAAAGCTAAAGCACTTTGCAAATGAGAATTGTTTGGACTGGGACCAGAGTCGGTGCCCAAGCTAAAATGCAAAGGATCTGAGATAAGCGGAGGCGAAGCACGTGCTTAACGTCACATCAACCAAAGAGCCTAAGTCCGGAAACATTTGTATCTCGCCATTATTACCCTGTTTACATGGGCAGCTGTGATTCGAATTGAGCCGGGACCCGTCCTCGATCCGAACTATCCGGCCCATGTATACACTCACGCGCCGTTCCGCTGATTCGAATCGTGCGCCGGAGGAAATCCCTTCCCGTGAGAGGATCATCCGTTCAGGAAGGGATTTCGTCCGAATTATCGGCCGTCAGCTGTCTAAACAAAAAAAAAGAAAAATGCCTGGCGCACGCAGTTCTGTTCATGGCCATTTCAGCTTCGTTTCGTGTTGCCGCTTTTCCACGGGTTTTTAGCTATTGCTCGAGACGGTCCAAGTCCAAGATGGTAAAGGAAAAGAGAAAGAAGGTGAAGTTGACACCATGCTGCTAAAACTACCCTTATTATTGAGGGCCTTGAGTGGCTAGCAGCACAGAAATGCTCACGTAATCTAGCCTCGCTAGGCGCATGATCTATGCAGACAGCAGGCGTCGGCGGTGCTTGGTGTTATCTTTCCGCCTAAAGGTTAGATTAATTTACATCTGGGGCAGGCTCCATGCTTCCAAAAGCCAAATGGAGGTAATATGGTCATTTTATATAGCTTTGACTTGTTCTCACTTTAATTTTTGGATTGCTCAAAATTCTTGCAGAGAATGCCTCCAAGTTTCTTTCATTAAGTTAATACCTAAAGGCCCCAGGAGCGTTTTTGCAGATGTTCCTTAAATTAGGATGCTGGTTGCTTGTCAGTTAAATTTGTGTGAGAAAGGTAGCTTAAAAATTGCTGCATGATATGACGGATGAACAAATATAGATCATTGCAGTCAGCTCGGAATGTGAACTTTTTCAATGGTAGGACCGAAATTGCCCAATGACGGGGTCAGAACAGCAAGAAAGCAAATGTGAACACTGGATGAAAAAAGTTGTCATCATTACTCTGCTAAATCCAAGTTTGTGTGTTCCATGTGCAGGAAAACAGTGCATAAACTAACACCTAACATGATGGCACATGCTGCATGGAGAACACGTCTGTGTTGCATATCATCACCTGTTTTTGTACTGATGATTAAATATGTCATCTTGGTGCTTTTTTGAGATGGGTGTCTGCAGGCCATGAGGTAGGTACTTGAACTGTTCAACAATTCTTGCAGGGAGTACCAATAGTTTCTTGCATTAAGTGAATACATAAATGCCCCAGGATTGATTTTGCAGACATTCCCCTGTGACTTGAACATTTGGTTGACCACCTATTGGGAGGAGAGATGTGCTGGATATTGGTGACTGGCTCGTCAAGGAAATATTAAGCTACATCACACTGGTAGACCAAATGGCAAGGAAGCGGGGGCTGGAATATTTGTTTTTGATGCGATTAGGCTGTTTGTTGCTTGTCAGTTTAGTGTGTGTGAGATAAGTAACTCAATAATTCCTGCATGATGCAAAGGATCAACAAATATAGGCAATAGATCATTGCAGTCAGTGCAGAATGTGAACTATTTTTAATGATGGGACCAAAATTGCCCAGTGATGGTTCCAAAATGTCAAGAAAGTAAATGTGAGCACTGGATGAAAATAGCTGTCATCAGTACTCTGTCAAATCCAGGTTTGTGCATTTCATGTGGAAGAAAACAGTGCATAAACTAAGTAAACCTAACATAATGCCACATGAGGTGCAGAGAACATCTGTGGTGCACATTATTACCTGTTTTTGTACGGGTGAGTAAATATGTTACCTTGGTGCTTTTTTGTGACATGTATCTTTGCAAACCATGAGGTGGATAATTGAGCTGTTGTTATAATTAATCATTTGTTATGAATTTTGAGCCCAGATTGCGTTTGTCATGACAGCTCTGGGGCTGGTTCACATGTTATGATCTTTGGACTGTGCGAACACAGCTGTTTGTGCCACCTAGCCATCAGTCCATATCAGCCAATGCTGTTGACTGCAAGGATATCAAAGCAGTATTTCAACCCTAGTATGTCAAGAAAGCAAATAGCTGCATTCTGACTTGCCAGTCCATGCCGAGTCTAAATGGCAATGCTGCCCTCAGGTACTGATGATGCATTGGATGGGGAAAGACAACATAGTTACACAATTTTTGCCACTATGTAGCATTCATGAGTCATTTCTGTAGCTTAGCTCACTGTTGCAGGCTGCTCATAAATGCATTAGTGTGGGAGTAGGTAATGTGTTTCTTGGGCTGCGCAAAGTAGATGACATGATGCTGGGTGGCATACTGATATGAGTGTGGTAAGTTTGTGAGTGTCATTGGCCAATACAATAAAATACTGATTTCCTGCTAGCCAAAGTTTCCCGCTAGTAAAAATTTGCATATAACACTGTTTATGTGACAGATTTGGCAGTGCTGACTGCGCAACTCTTGTGTTTCAAGTGCTATGGCTTGTGCTGTAGCTATAAAGCCTATGAGTCCCGCACAGATCATTTTTCCAACGGAGTCCATCTTCCTCCTCGCCCTCAAAGCTGTCTCGCGCCCACCATGGCTCGTGACATTCGCCATCCATACGCAGAGTACGGGCTTTTTTCTTCTTGTTTTGTTCAGTTCGCCTCAAAAGCGCAGTTTTCGCCCATAATCCGTTCCTTGATTCGAACTAAGCGGGATCGAACTATCGACCGTTAATCCGACGTAAAGCCGGTTTCGCCCATGTAAACGCCGCTCGCCGAGAGGGTTAACCGTCGCATGATCCGTTCCGATCTTAATTCGAATTATCCTCGGCTGCCCATGTAAACCGGGTATATGTACCACTTCGGTGTTTTAAGCCCACGGATTTGTTCCCATGGGATCAAATTTGTAAATATCGCGAACGTGAAATGCCGGGAAGACGCGTGATGATAGAACTAAGAACCTTTCGGGGTAAGCAGATGGGGCTAATTAGATAGCCCTCACGACAAGCTATGCGTTCCGTTCGCGCTCACCGCACTTGCCGTCCGTTTCAAGTTTGAAACCAAATTAGGCATCTGCCTAATTCTGTCTAAGCACGAACACGAAATGCATCTTGCATATATTGAGAGAAGCGAGATAAACAAGAGAGAGCGCTGTCACCCAATATGACACCGCAGACTCCTTAAGTGAATGCAACCAGGCACCTTCAGCCTTCACCGTACAGCTGCCCCCACTCCGCCCCCTCCCCCACCGATCGGAAAAAGCCACTGTACTCTCTCCCTCTCTTCTCAGAACGCAACTGCGCTCACGATAAACAAGCGGTGGTACCATATAGACTGCATCTGATAAGTGCAACTGACCTGTGATGGGTCAAAGCAGGTCAAAGCAACAAAACTAGTGTAGGCCTCTTGTCTATGTTCAAAACTATACGTGCTATGGTACCAAGGAGATCGTAATGCATAGTGCTTGGGACATCGGACGATGCATGCTTAGAAATGCATCAGCGGTGTGTTCTGTGCCAATAGCAACTGTGTCTTACGGGTCAACGGTTGTGGGCAAAGTCCCAGCACCCGTTATTTCAATGACTGACCAAGGCACGGACACGGCAGAAAAAGCGCCAGATAGCGCTCATCTGCACCGTATGCCAGCAAGCTTAATCTTGCGTTAATTGACAACGTTGAGCGGAACAAGAGAGGTAAAAAATTAACTGAAAGGCTTACCATCTGGCTGATTTTACACGGAACGACTTAAACTAATCGCAAGCAAAATAATAGCGTCATTCTTCAGTGCGATGAACCACAGCAGATAGGTGTGAGTAACGCATAATGGAGACACATAATCTGCCTGTATCGGGACATGCAAAACCTACGGCTAACATGCTCTATCTAGCTACCGCATGCGAAGCTTAACGAACGTGATCCCGAAAGGCATCAGGTCTTTTTACCTGGGAAAGGCAGCCTTAAAATTTTTGAACACATAATGTAAAATGCACTCAACGACGCAGCTGGAAATTTCAGTGGTATACGTTTATTGGCGCATAATCTGTGCCAGACGAGATTCAGCTAGCATATGAGTTCGCTCTAACCCCCCCCCCCCCCCCCCTCCTCCGAGACAGCAAGCATTTACCCGCGCCAGTATTTGGCAACCGTGGTGAGCCTTCGCCACGCCAGCTTAGGAAAATCAACTATTGCGTCACACACTGATCATATCGCTCTCGACTTCGAAAAAGCCACTTTCCACCGCCTGCGTTTCACTGCAGACAGGTTTAGAACATCGCACGATTCTGCAAAACATTCGACACGCGTCGAGCCGGCGCTCAGATGCCGGTGAGTCACCAAGGGACGATGGAAGGGCTTTGGAGGATGGCTGGACTGCTACCCTGGCACTTACTACCTGATCTAATCGTGGTAGGTCTCAAGTATATAGTTGGTAGTTCCCAGTTTCGTCTGTCGTCTTCAACTGCATTCATTCCTCAGAGCAGCTATGCTTCTTCGTCGCAGTCTCACTATCCTGCCATGGCGGGGAGCGTCCTCTGCCCCGTTAGGTCCATTGTATGGCAGCAGCGCTGTGGTGCGGTTCGCAGTGTACTGGTGTGCGGTATTCCACTGTCCACCTTGGGAGAGCGGTCGTAGCACTTTGGGCTACGCAGCTTAAAATCAAATCCGAATCAATCAAATCAAGTCAGTCAATCAAGTCTTTACGGATTGAGTTTTCAGGCCTACCCACAGGCCTAATCTGGAAAAGTGCAATTCCAATGCGCCTGCCGATCAGTTTTCACTATTTTAAATCCGACGTATAGGCATGACAAGTATTGACATTATCATTGCCGTTCCTAGTTAACAATCGGTGTGATAAGACGGTGTCATTACGTCAAACACACCCTGAGCAATGCAAAAAACATGAGTACCCCCGCCCCATCTCGCAACTATTCTTAACAGGGTGTGTCTGGTCGCAAGACTGCTGTCGAATCTTGATACGTTGTCTGTTGAACAATCTTAGCAGCCTGGCATTGGAATCATGCAGGTACTCACATTTGCACCGTGTAAAGATTACTTTGAGCTTGGCCAAGTCTACTGTATGGTACGCATTATCAGCCCAAAGGTTGTGCGACGATTAATTTGGCCCTCGCGGTTTTTCCTATCACATCGTACAGCACCGACATTAAGCGACGTATCCTGACTGCTAGTGGGTCCCATCTCTCCAAAACTTCAGCAGCCTTTGCATGCAGGCACGACCTGAGGTCTCATCTGTGCTGCAACCGCAGTCAGCAGATGAGACCTGCGGTTTGTGGGAGAACCGCAGGTCTCGAGGTACGTCCACATAAATTGCTATCTGTTCAGAGACCTGCATTGGCAGCAGCCTCATGTTGACTGGAGACCGATGGTTATCCAAACTATGCTCTCATAGCATCTTTAAATATCTTACAAAGAGGCAGTTATCATGTATATTGAAGACACTGGGTCCTCATAAACGATCACGAACAGCACACAGTGATGATATATTGCCGAATCAAGATGATATATTGTGATTATATATTGGTGAATCAAGATGATATATTGTGATGATATATTGGTGAATCAAGATGATATATTGTGATGCAATATTGGTGAATCAAGATGATATATTGTGATGATATATTGGTGAATCAAGATGATATATTGTGATGCAATATTGGCGAATCATTCGCTTGCGTGTTTAAATCATGGCACGTTACTGCAATGAGGGCTGCTACCTTGCTGCCGTCATTAACTCGATGATGAGCAGGCGATGTATGATGATGAGGAGTGAATTTTGCACAGTCAGTTACAAGAAATGGCAGGGCTGCGTCCAGAGTAAAGTTCTAGGTTAACAATCTCTCAGTTTGCGATCTGGACAATTTGACATTTAAGAGGGGTCCAAATGTTTGGTAGGCGGATTACTGCTGCAGATATATATGGGCAAGGCGGGGGGTGTGATTTGTACACAGTCCCTAGTCCAACACAAAACGTGCATTTTCCTCACCAACTTCACGTATCCTTCATCCAGCATGGATCTAGGATGTGACCTAAGAATTATGAAAGTATATGATTGTGTGGTACGGGAGAAAAAACTGTTGTCTGCACTGTAATAGTTTGCTCAATGTCAAGTATCAATTTAGCAACTTTTTATGTAATCCATGCGCGACTAACCAAACAGATTTCGCCTATGCGACGCTGCAGGTGTGCATCTTTTATTTGCATGAAGCTAGAAACTCACATTCCCCCACTTCGGACCTTTCTGAGTGCACCACTGATATTTAGCGAAAATAATTTTAAGTGGGAAACATATCAAGCCACAAGCCTTGCTCAAGACTCTTCTCGTGAGGATTGGAGGAGGGCAGCATGCTGCACCCGTGGTGCCATGCGAAATACGCCGCATGGAAACTTCAAGGGAGTGTAACTTTTAACCTTCTCTTTGAAATTTACCCTGCAGTGAATTGGCAGGAAACAGCACCCAACGCAGTTTGAAGATCATGCAAGCACATTTTTGTGCCCAGAACTGCGGAAGACGCCCGTGGCCAGTCTAGAAACATCTGACGAATGGTCTAAAGCAGAGCCTTGAAACTTGGTGTCTTTTGATCAGTGGTGTAGTAAAGATCCCGAAAGATTGTAATCCTAACCCTAAAACCTGTAAACCTTAGGCTTGATAAATTACGGCACCAAATGAGTTGTTGAGCTAGAGGAGAAGCTCTTTCACTCGGCTGCAGTCAATATCCGCTGAGATGCCTAACTGACAGAAATGAATGGACTTTTTCAGCTGAAAATGAATGTCTGGCGGCTGACAATCGCCTTCATTCTGGACGCAGCCTCTCAGCCATTCATATCAGCAAGACACGTCTTGAGCTCCAGATTTTTAGCGTCAGCTTGGAGGTCTTATGCCAAACGTCATCATCCGCTAATACACTGATTCGGCTTAGCCCTCGCCATACAAAAGCTGTTGGCCCTCACCTTACGAGAGAGCGGTTGTGGTGCATCATGGCCTCTCCTAATATCTCAAACTTGAGGAAGCTAGAGCTCGAGAAAAATAAGATTGGAAAACTCTTATGGCACTGCATCAGAAACGTAACAGTTATGGCATTCAACTTTCCAAAATTGCAGCAGCGTGCTCAAAGCTGCACGGAAACCATCCCGAAAAACATAAGGGCCACTGGGGGCACCCTCGTTTGGTGAGGGATTAACGATGTTATCGAGCAACCATTGGCCATATTCTCAAGGCTTTCTTCGATAAGTTTTGCCCAAAAACAATGTTTGTTAAGTCAGGTATGCCAACCAGCAATTTCTGACGTATTTAAGGCCGCTTATTGTTACAAAACATCAAAACTAATACTCACCTGGCACAAAGCCATTCAAACCAGTCCGTTGGCTCAGGTCACCTGAACATCGTCTCCAGCCTTATCGTCCAGCATCGTCCTGAAGTTTTATCGTCCAACATCGTCTCCAGCCTTATCGTCCAACATCGTCCTCCAGCCTATCTTAAAGAACCACAGCAAAAAAGAGTCGCGCTTTTATCATGATCGCCACCAGTATTCATCGCCACACCTCTGGAGTTACCTCCTACCTAGTTCTCTGTTTAGATAACCCCGTTCAGCGGCACCAAACCTGACACCTTGCCCGCGGAGCTGGGATCTGACCTCGACGCTCCCCCCCCCCCCCCCAGCCCCCAACACGTGTGCTGGTCACGCACTTGCCCGCGCGTCATGCAAGGCGAGTCCAGCCAGCCCACGGGCGGGGCGGCAGCAAGCTGCAGTATAAAAGAATGCAGACGCAGGGGGAGCAGCATCAGTCTCTCCCCGCTAGCCACATCCGCGGACATGAAGGTACGGCTGCGTGGTACGGCAGCAGTGGCTATTCAGTTGTATTCATTTATGTCGGAGTCCCTTTAATGTAGCGCAGTTAACCGCAAGCCTCGGTGGAGGGTTTCTTATGTACTGCGAGTTTTCTGGCTCTTCATTTTTGAAAACGTCAGCGTGACTTTGTGTTACAAATAAAGACGCACAAAAGGCACAAATGTGCACGTTATCCTCCACCATGGGCAAATAATACGCTGACATAAACTTACTCTGAGTCTGCTAACAGACATTTTCTATTGTTCACACTAGCTGCAGCTTCAGCCAGGCCAAGTTTGGCTGAAACGAAGCAGCAGTCAAGCAGTCATGTTTTGAGTAGATTTTTGAGCGCTAAGTCTTATCCTCAGCGTACTTTTGAATGTTTTTTCTTAAATTGCGAGGCCTGGTATAAAAGATTCTTCAGCAACTCCATTTGTAGTTCGCTGAATCTTTCAGACAGCCTACTGTTTTTCTACCGCGGTGTAAAAATAACAAAAAAATTTCCATCGCCCTCATGCTGGACTCGTGCTTTCAGCTAATTATTTTCTCGGCACTCGCGGTTGCCGCTTCGGCCGGAGGATCCTATGGAGGGGGCCTCGGAGGTCGCCTAGGACGTGGTTTTGGAGGAGGCGTCGGAGACGGCTACGGACGGAGTGGCTCCGTCGACTACTACGCCGTGCCCGACTACAACACCGCTTACTCCATCAAGGACGGCTACTCCGGTGTGGATGTCGATTCCCAGGAGAACCGACATGGTCAACAGACCGAGGGTTCTTACTCTGCCCAGCTGCCCGACGGCCGAAGACAACAGGTCACCTACTGGGTGGACGGCGACTCGGGCTACAACGCTGACGTCAAGTACTACGGCGTGGCCAAACACCCGCAGACCCCCGTCAACAGCTATGGAGGCGGCTTCAGGTCTGGCTCCGTGGGCGGTTACGGAGGTTATGGTTATGGCGCTGGAGGCGTTGGCTCTCTTCGGAGCGGACGTGTTGGCGGTCATGGCTACGCTGGCCGTGGTTATGGCAGCTACCACTGATCCCGCCAGAATGGTTTCTCAGACCCACGCATTCGCAACGTCTGTATAGAGCTAGTTCTCTATTATCTGCGTGTACTTCGTCTTTGGTTTACGTAATCCTGTATGAATGTATGCTACCCTGTGTGTAGGTGTAATTTATTAGCAACAACAGCAATACAATGCCAGCAGCTATGGACCATTACTTTGCGAAGTGGCATCAGTGGTGATGCCTGCATACTTGCGTCAGTCACAGGTCAAACAAAGCACAGACCAAGTCACACTACAGGAGCTTGCGTCAGTCGCAGGCCATCCAAAGCACAGACCAAGTCACACTACAAGAGCTTGCGTCAGTCACAGGTCATCCAAAGCACAGACCAAGTCACACTACAGGAGCTTGCGTCAGTCACAGGTCATCCAAAGCACAGACCAAGTCACACTACAGGAGCTTGCGTCAGTCACAGGTCATCCAGAGCACAGACCAAGTCACACTACAGGAGCTTGCGTCAGTCACAGGTCATCCAAAGCACAGACCAAGTCACACTACAGGAGCTTGCGTCAGTCACAGGTCATCCAGAGCACAGACCAAGTCACACTACAGGAGCTTGCGTCAGTCACAGGCCATCCAAAGCACAGACTAAGTCACATTACAAGAGCTTGCGTCAGTCACAGGTCATCCAGAGCACAGACCAAGTCACACTACAGGAGCTTGCGTCAGTCACAGGTCATCCAAAGCACAGACCAAGTCACACTACAGGAGCTTGCGTCAGTCACAGGTCATCCAGAGCACAGACTAAGTCACACTACAAGAGCTTGCGTCAGTCACAGGTCAAACAAAGCACAGACTAAGTCACACTACAGGAGCTTGCGTCAGTCACAGGTCATCCAGAGCACAGACTAAGTCACACTACAGGAGCTTGCGTCAGTCGCAGGTCATCCAGAGCACAGACCAAGTCACACTACAAGAGCTTGCGTCAGTCGCAGGTCATCCAGAGCACATACTAAGTCACACCACAAGAGCTGTGTTCGCAGTGGGATTTAGGGAAGGTAGAAGAATACAGCCACTGTCGTTCTAGTTTTACCATGTGATATGCTTCAGTCTCCCATGCTCCGCTGAGCCCCGCTCAGTGCGCATGAACAGAAATCATGTTCAATTTGAATTAATGAATATCCTGTAGGTAAGTTGCGTTCTTGTTTTGCCAGCTTCTTCACATGCTGTGTCATCCTAGTCATACTTGACAACGATTTCACACGATCGACAATAGACTGATATGAAGAACTATTGACTTCAATTTCCAACAGCTTATAGAAGTACAGTGTGACCCAGATGAGAGTTATGCAACGTCTCTCCCAACAGCGGCAAGGGTAGTTGTCGCACGGTCGCGACTGGTGATATTCGACTGCTAATTCGATTTCAAAACATAATCAATAACGTCAGTAGTCACGAGTGATTCAAGGCCCGTCAATGCATGCCGAGAGGTGCTTCAGAAAGACCCTCTGCAGTCCAGTATGCACAACAGCTGAGCCTGCTGCGGGTGGCCGATTGTCCGGTCTAGCATGCACAACAGCTGAGCATGCTGCAGGTGGCCGATTGTCCGGTCTAGCATGCACAACAGCTAAGCTGCTGCAGGTGGCCGATTGTCCGGTCTAGTATGCACAACAGCTGAGCCTGCTGCAGGTGGCCGATTGTCCGGTCTAATATGCACAACAGCTGAGCCTGCTGCAGGTGGCCGATTGTACGGTCGATTGCCCAAGCTGTCACGCCCCATCGTAAGCCTAAAGGTGGCCGTGAGCTTTTGAAGGTTCGCTGGTTTGCCCTCGTGAACGCAGTTTGTGAGTTGTCCCTCAACGTGTAGTCTAGGGGTGACAGGTGGGACGAGCCCTCGTCCCGAGCAATCCCGTGAAGTCGATCCAGGTCCGCCCAGATGGGTATCAGAGGGAGCGATGCAGCAGTCTGAGGTGGCGTTGAGGTACTCACTCGCGTCCGTGAATTTCTCGATTTCGTCATGTCTTAGTTTTGGCATTGAATGGTTATTGGAATGCTAAATGGTTATTCGAATCTTCATTGTGCGAGAAATACGCTTGTCGCTGCTCAATAAAAAGTGAATAACTTTTATCTGGGTCATGTTAGACGAACGGATTTTTCACATAGACACAGTCTGCTTTCTTCACCTTTGCACGGTTTCTTTCCGCACTTGATGTACTGCTTGACCAAGAACTGGCGGCACAATGGGAACACCTCTCTCAGTGCTCCCTGCAACCTTTCTGACAGAAAAGAAGATTTACTTTAGCACGTCTACATTTACACGACTGATGATCAGAATAGATCGGCATCGCCACTACTGAGGATCAGAATAGATTCGCATCGCCACGACTGGGGATCAGAATACATCCGCATCGCTCTCCCCATTACTGATACAACGCCTGTTTTTAGCATCGATTGAGTGTGGAAAATTACAATACAGTATGACTGAAGCGACCGTCAGTTTTTCAGATTAAGCCTGACTGATCTGGTATATGTGCTCACGTCAAACAGCTTGCTTGTTTGGTGAGCCCTGAACCCATGGTAAAATTTTGGGTCAACGGAAGAACTATGCGGCGAAAGTTTACCGTGTCTCAGCGCTCGGCATGGTCCATCCCGCCCTCTGACGTCATCTGACGTTTAGCACGCCGCTGCCACCTGCCGCAGGCTATCTCGGTCAGAAACAAACCACGAGGGCCCAAAGCGACTCAGACTCACCCCGTCACAGGTGGGTGAACCGCGAGGCAAGCGCTCTAACGAGCTGAGCTATCGGGTCGGGCTAGGATAGATCGCGGGACGGGACGATTTAAAGTACAGTTCGGTGGGGTGTCTTCCATCTGGTTATATCACAGGGTGTCGGGGAACAGAATCAGCACATTTTGTGCAGTGTGTTCTGGAATGGAGCGGCGATTTGCGTGGTCTTAATAGACTTTTGCGAAAAAAATTGTGCACAGCTTCTAAACGTGGCATTTTCTCAATATAACCAATGTCTTTTGATCAAGTAGTTCAACCGCTACCTCCTGGTATCTTGAAGGTCAATTGTTTTCGACGTCAAAACTTCCTACTCCCCACCGTCAAACACCATGATTCATGGCCTTTCTTTCTCGTGCCAACTTCCCACATGCGTCAAAGCGTTGGCCACGCTATTTTCAAGTAGGCTATTTTAAATGTCTATTCGATCACCTTTATTTGCGTGCTCTGCCTTTCAAGTTAACATGTTTGTTTAAAAGGTCGAATAAGTTCAGGCTTTCTTTTGCTTATAGGTACGTTGTGACATTTTAGTTACGATATATAGATACATTGTGACATCTTAGTTATGGTATATAGGTACACTGTGACATTTTATTTATGGTATATAGGTACACCGTGACATTTTAGGTATGGTTTATTTTGGCAGTGTACTGAAAATGTTAGCAAATGCTCTTGCCCACACGCATCAGGCCACGCCATTATGCATAAAGCTGTCTTTTTTGCGGCTCAGGTTACCTTCGCTGAAAGATTAACGATGCCTTCCATGACAAGAATAGTCAAACGGGCCGCACACATACCACGGGCTATGGAACTGCCACCAGCCTCTTGCCATTTAGCTCCGATATGTGCTCTGAGCAGGCCGTACCATTAGCACTACCGGGCGCAGCGCAGCACTCCGCCGCCGCGCCACGTCAACGGGGGTCGCTACTGCCGCTCGCATTTATCCCTGGTGAGGTGTGGTGCTCGCGCCAGGACATATATTAAAGTCCTGGGGAGGGAATTGAGATGCAGCTGCCGCCCGCACAACAACTTAAAATCATTCGTAGGACGATCTTCAGCGATCTTTTCACCATGTGAGAGATGTCAGATACTGTTCTGTCCAATGGCGTTCCCTCAGCCTGGTTGGTGGAAGGCCAAGCGCTGAATAGTGGGTTTAGCAGGCACGAGCTCGCGTCACAGAAACTGCGCTCATATGGCTCGCTCTCGATAGCCAGTTGGCAGCTGGCCAAGTGAGTTAGGTTAAAACACCGTGATAGGCTGTGTTAGGGCACCACCTGTCAGTCGAAACATTCTCGAAAACATTTCTCGTTGAACTAGAATCGTGGAACTGCCGCGATTGGGGTTAGGGTCCTTGCAACTAGCGATATTTAGCAATGACTCATATCTCAGAGCCATTCATAGAAAACTTATGGTTAATTCCAAGTGGATAGGCTGTCCAGTTTTTCAAATACATCATGAAACAGCTCGTTTAGACGAGCTATTTGACGAGGTATTTGAAGAGCTTGTTTTAGAGCTATGTTGTATTTATCGTTTGGTATAGCAGTGCAGACCTTCCTTCGAGAAGACAGGACACGGCTCATCAATTCCGCCATTAAAGATCCGCCTCCTGGATCGCATCATTTCATTGCTAAACGCTCATCCGTCAAGTCTGTAACTATGCTTCTTTAGAAGATTTTATCCGAACCCCTTGAATGGATGAATTTCTGGGATCAGAGCTCACGCTAAGCAGTGTTTGTTGTGTGAGCCCTGACCCCTACCACCCGATCGCGCAATTCCATGTCAACGGCAAAATTTGGTGGCCAAAGCTTAACGTGCCACAATGATCGGCACGGTCCGTCCTGCCCTCTGACATCAACTGACCTTTACCGCGGCCGCTGCCACCGGCCGCAGGCCATACCTGTCAAGGGCAAATTGCGAGCGCCCTAAAGCGACTCGAACCCACCCCGCCACGGGTGGGTGAATGGGAAAGGAGACGCTCTAACCAACTGAACCGCCCGGAACGGACAGAACACAAAGCCAACAGCTTTGCTTCAAAACACAAAGTCGACCATGCTGGGAGAGTTACATAAAGTTCAGCTACACAAAATGTAACTAAGCATTCAGCTACAGGAGGCGGAGCTGAAAAATTACTACACGAAATCTAACTAGCCATTTATCTACACGAGATGTAACTAGTTAAATGGCCACACGAGATGTCAATCATTCATCTACGCCTAGATCTAGTTAACAATTCCAAAGCCTATCTTGAAGCGTTGAGCACCTACTACCACTTTAACCGATGTATGGACTGTGATGACACCTAACCAGCACCTCCCGGTATGCCCAATGTCTATAACTCAGCAGAAGAACTCGGAACACATAGTGCCGAAAAACCAGTAGTTGAAGGCATCTCTTTCTCACATCAGGTACAATGAGATAGGACTGCATTGCTGTCTCACCAACATGAAGCAAGCACCTCTTTCTCACATGCTGTCTACAGCCGCAAGCAAGCAAGTGCGCTTGGCGCAGCATCTCCACATCCAGAAGCTCAGCAGAGGTATCCCACTTTTCCCATGAGCCAGTTTACTCCGGCCTCTCCGTCCCAGCGTAATTCACGCCGCGCAGGAAAATAGGGAGCTGGCACAAGGAAACCACACCGGCGCCAGCAGGACCGGTTTTCCCACATCCGCTCACAGACGGCAAGCCAACGTTTTTGTTAGCGCACAAAAGGATCACGTTCCGGCCCGTCTTAGAGAAGTCAGCACCGCGTCGGATGGAGCGAGCTCTGCCGCGTCCTTGACCGTGTTTCGGGAGCAGTGACATTCCTCCATCGGCTTCATACCTGGAATACACTCAGCACCACGTTCTTGTTAGCTGTTCAACAGGCGCTCGGGCGTGAAATCAATTTGACCCCCTGAGGCTTTTGCGAAGTAATTTCTGAACAGTTCGGCGTAGCTGGGTGAAACCAAGCTTTGCTGTGTCTTAGCCAACTTTGCATGCACGTAAGTAATTAAACAGCCAATCTTGTGACAAAAAACATTCGATATATATCTTAGCATTGTCGACCTATGGCGGATCAAAGTTCGACCACGGCCGTCAACAAAACCAGTGCCTAGGAAATGGTTCAATCCGCTTGCTTAATTGAAATAGTTCAAGCAAAGGGCTGACGTCGATGCTGTCTAAGAGGGTCCACACCGGACACAATCCTGCAACGACCCTATGTCCACTCCGAGCACAACCGGACACAATCATGCAGAGCCCCATGTCCACTCCGAGCACAACCGGACACAATCCTGCAGGAACCCTACGTCCACTCCGAGCACAACCGGACACAATCCTGCAGGAACCCTACGTCCACTCCGAGCACAACCGGACACAGTCCTGCAGAGCCTTACGTCCACACCGTACACAACCGGACGCAATCTTGCAGGACCCTACATCCACACCGGCTACAACTGGACACAGTCCTGTAAAGCCCTACGTCCACACCGGACACAATCCTCCAGAGCCCCACGTCCACAGCCCGATAATAATGTTTGTATCAGATGCTCAGGCGCCTGCGAAGTCCACCGTGTGGTGCTGAGCCATTGTGTACTCGGACGTTCCAACAACCGCATTAACTGCATACTTATAAGGCCGGTGTGGCTCAGTTTCTTTATTGTGCGAGCCTCATCGCCCATGAAGTGAGCGCAGCTGATGCAATGCACAACGGTGTTTTGTCCAGTACCCTCGAGGTTGTCGCCGACGGAGCGATTATTGTTGTTTTTTTTTTAAAGACGAGCTCACTTCACTGCTTGAGGTGGTATCCGTGTCCTGCTCTGTTTTCATCCGACAGTCACGGCGCCATCACATCCGACAACACCATCTGACAGTCTGACACTCGCACAGAAGCGACAGAACCCTGAAGACGCTGGAAAGCCATTGGATTTCAACGCTCGGTGTTTGCATGACGCCAAGTAATAACCGTCATATCTTAATTTTCGCATAGTCAGTGGAATACCATGTGTCCAACATTGAACGTCATACAGCACCTGGTGGTGTGTTCTCCTGGCCTGCGGGGTTGCGCAATGGGCGGAATTCTCGCCCTTTGAGGCGCGCGAGAAAGTTTTTGACCCGCCGGGTCGCGCGACTGTCCCATTGCAACCCAGCAGAGGCGCGTGGACACGTCAGACGTTGCGTGGCCGTTATCCCGATGGTGAGTGAACACAGCGTCTGCCCACTGGGTGCACCTCCTGTCTCAGGCATCGGGGCTCGCTTAGGCAGCGGGGCCTGAACAGCAGCAGGCCCGGGGAGGAGGCAGCGGGGTCCGCACGCTGGCGAAAACTGGGAATTTGTACCTGGTTGCCAGTTGAGCGTCTAACCAAAAGCCTGGTAGTTGGTGCTTTGCCACATGTCTTGACTTGCCGTTCTCTTAGAGTGACCTGCCTGCTCCACCAGTGTGGATCATTCGTCACAAGACAATTGCTAAAGACATGCCAAACTGGAAGGTAATTCTCGCAATTCAGGCACATTTGCCCCGCGGCCTCCAAATAGATAATATCATATTCCTACATTCCAAACAGATACACTGCTCCCTTGTTTCGCTCCGTCTCAGATTTTGTGCTAGATACGACCTTGAACACAACTCTTTAAGTATCGGTTATCTTGCAAGCGATATCGTTTGCCTAATTTGTCCAAAGAGCAAAAGGCATCATGCGCTAGTGAAAACATGACTGCATGTTATAGGCTTGAACTTCTAAAAACTGTCCTTGGAGCACGACTGAAAGATTTCCCTTGGATACCTGCTGTTCAACACATTTTTTCGTTGCATTTGGTACACCACTGGCGATTATGACATGCTAGATGACCAAATTGGTCTGCAAGATCATGAAACCCTGTACAGTGGAAGAAACCACACACATATTTTCCCTTTACTAATTTTTAGGTTGCTTTTCATGGCTGCTGAGGTTGTATTACGGATCGGCACGACAATAGCCAAGTGTTATGAATAGAAACAGCATGCCTAAGCACTGGACAGCTCACGTATATTGGTGACCGTGCATTCCATGACAGTGACCGCCACTAGACAATCAATAAATGTGTCCACCGCCGTACGGCCCAGCCAATCCAGCAGGGCCGATGCCTCCAAAGCCAGCACCGTGAGGAATGCCGTGAGCGATGCCGTGAGCGATGGGCTTCTTCGGATGCTTGGCAACACCAAAGTACTTGACGTCAGCGTTGTAGCCCGACTTGCCGTCGACCCAGTAGGTCACCACCTGCTTACGACCGTCGGGCAGCAGGACCGAGTAAGAACCCTCCGTCTTGTGGCCGAGGCGGTTTTCCTGCTTGTCAACGTCCACACCGGAGTAAGGGTCCTTGACGGAGTAAGCCGTGCTATAGTCGGGGACAGCGTAGTAATCCCCTCCGTAGGCACCCGAGACGCCGCCATGCGCTCCTCCGAACGGTCCTCCGTACGATCCTGCATACTGTCCTCCGAACGGTCCTCCGAACTGTCCTCCATACGGTCCTCCTAAGTTTCCACTGACGAGGCCGCCGGCGGCAGCCGCCACCAGAGTAGTCAGAATGATCAGCTGAAACATGTGCATATAACGATCAGCTAAAAACGCACGCGTAGAAAGATAAGCTAAAACACACCTAGACGTCTCTAGGCTGGCCCTGTCTAGAGACCTAACAGTTGGACACGCAAACATGTAGCCTGACCAAACGTACTAGACTAGACGCATTAAGTCATTAATGTACAACAATCAGCAGCCGATCAAAGTATCCTACAACAAGGCGGCTTTAAAGTCATTACATGGGCGTAACGGACGTGTTTATCAAGGAAGCCTGCGTGCAGAAATGTAAGATTGGCCAATGATATGCTGGCTATTAGGTTCATCGTTCTGTCAACAGATGTCGATGCGCCACTGCAGTTCATGTCAAACGGAAGAAGAGTGGACGCGCACATGTCACCGCATATGGCGCCCAGCACCGCCGAGGCTTGCGATGGATCGAGCGACCAGTCACCGTCGGGGGGCTGGAAATGACCCCCGCAGCAGCCACCACGAATCACCCGCTCTGTCGAAAGCACACTGGACAGAGCAATGTCTTCAGCACGGCCGCTCGCTGCGGCTCAGGCGAGGCACCGGACGCCGGTGGATGCACGACAGGAGTTACCTTCATGGCTGTGGACCTCCGCCGCCCAATGGAATGACAGCACCTCCACCGCCCTGTTGTCTTTTATACCAGCGAGTAGTTGCGGACCGTTTTCCTAGCGACGCTCGGCACCACGCCCTGATTTGTTAGGAAAACGCGCCGCCCGCAAGCCGGTGCTCTGAATCAGAGCGCCCTGAGCCAGAGTGCTCGCTGGACCGGCCGCCGGCGCTGAGAGAGCGCGGCAGGTCACTCGCGAAGGTGAGGCGAGGTGAGCGAGGAGGTGAGAAGGACATAACGGAGGTGAGCACCTATCAGGAGCGGATCGCGTCCACAGCAGAGGCCACTGTGACATTCACGCCCACGGGCGTTAAAAAAGGAAAATTCTCTCAGAACGCATGGATTGTTCATAACCTTTGTGAATCGAGGTTGATTAGTTTCTAGAGCACCAACTGGCTCTTGGGGCATTTCATGGAGCCATGAAATCCGTCTACTTTTCTGTATGTTGTGTCCGCTCTTGATGCTCAGTGCTGGCCTTTGAGTGGTACAGTGAGCAGCACCGGAGGAATATGAACGTGGCACGGTCGGCTGGTGCAGGTGTACTGTACGCACTGCGTTAACATATTGCTACGTACGCTTATCGTGAAGTAGGAGGCTCCATGACCTGAGAGGCATCGACCGCACCGGAAACTTTAGTCTAGTGAACTATATACCATTTTGCGGCACATTTGCTGGTTCATTCGTCTTCCTAACAAGTTTTTTTGACGAGGCCGTAGTTCTTATGGGAGACGCGCATACGGTATTGCTGCGTTGAATTGCCAGAGTTTTCCGCATCACATCCGGATACAGATCACACGGGAGACAATGTGTTGAGTTACGCGGGACCTATTGGAGCTGAAAACTCCTCAGTAGGCACTAATGTTTGCTCCTTGCAGAAAGATAACTTAGATTACTTTTCCAGTCCTTAGGCAGCAAGCAGGCTTATGCTTAAGCAAGCCCAAGCCTTCATCCCTTAAGCAGTTGGTTGCCTTACGGGAACAAACTCGAGGAATGTCTGGCGTAAGATTATGAACAAACCAGTTTTTACCCCTTGAATCAGAGTATAGAATCCAAGTCCAATTACAAGTCAGTTACCTGACTCCGCAGTAATCTATCCTTGTCCGCGTTTTTTCGCGGTCACTTAGCGTGATCTGACTCACTTGCGGTCACTTCACCGCGATCTAACTCACCCTCGGTCACTTCAGATTGATTTGACTCCCCGCGGCCTCTTCAGAGTGACCCGACTCACCCGCGGTCACTTCGCCGCGATCTGACTCCCCGCGGCCTCTTCAGAGTGACCTGACTCACCCGCGGTCACTTCGCCGCGATCTGACTCCCCGCGGCCTCTTCAGAGTGATCTGACTTTCCCGCGGCCACTTCAGCGTGATTTGACTCCCCCACCAGACAGCAGATGGTGGTGACCATCTTCGCAAGGTGGTGACAGCAGATGGTGGTGACCATCTCCGCAAGGTGGTGACAGCAGATGGTGGTGACCATCTCCGCAAGGTGGTGACAGATGATGGTGGTGACCATCTCCGCAAGGTGGTGACAGCAGATGGTGGTGACCATCTCCGCAAGGTGGTGACAGCAGATGGTGGTGACCATCTCCGCAAGGTGGTGACAGCAGATGGTGGTGACCATCTCCGCAAGGTGGTGACAGCAGATGGTGGTGACCATCTCCGCAAGGTGGTGACAGCAGATGGTGGTGACCATCTCCGCAAGGTGGTGACAGCAGATGGTGGTGACCATCTCCGCAAGGTGGTGACAGCAGATGGTGGTGACCATCTCCGCAAGGTGGTGACAGCAGATGGTGGTGACCATCTCCGCAAGGTGGTGACAGCAGATGGTGGTGACCATCTCCGCAAGGTGGTGACAGCAGATGGTGGTGACCATCTCCGCAAGGTGGTGACAGATGATGGTGGTGACCATCTCCGCAAGGTGGTGACAGCAGATGGTGGTGACCATCTCCGCAAGGTGGTGACAGATGATGGTGGTGACCATCTCCGCAAGGTGGTGACAGCAGATGGTGGTGACCATCTCCGCAAGGTGGTGACAGCAGATGGTGGTGACCATCTCCGCAAGGTGGTGACAGATGATGGTGGTGACCATCTCCGCAAGGTGGTGACAGCAGATGGTGGTGACCATCTCCGCAAGGTGGTGACAGCAGATGGTGGTGACCATCTCCGCAAGGTGGTGACAGCAGATGGTGGTGACCATCTCCGCAAGGTGGTGACAGCAGATGGTGGTGACCATCTCCGCAAGGTGGTGACAGCAGATGGTGGTGACCATCTCCGCAAGGTGGTGACAGCAGATGGTGGTGACCATCTCCGCAAGGTGGTGACAGCAGATGGTGGTGACCATCTCCGCAAGGTGGTGACAGCAGATGGTGGTGACCATCTCCGCAAGGTGGTGACAGCAGATGGTGGTGACCATCTCCGCAAGGTGGTGACAGCAGATGGTGGTGACCATCTCCGCAAGGTGGTGACAGCAGATGGTGGTGACCATCTCCGCAAGGTGGTGACAGATGATGGTGGTGACCATCTCCGCAAGGTGGTGACAGCAGATGGTGGTGACCATCTCCGCAAGGTGGTGACAGCAGATGGTGGTGACCATCTCCGCAAGGTGGTGACAGCAGATGGTGGTGACCATCTCCGCAAGGTGGTGACAGATGATGGTGGTGACCATCTCCGCAAGGTGGTGACAGCAGATGGTGGTGACCATCTCCGCAAGGTGGTGACAGCAGATGGTGGTGACCATCTCCGCAAGGTGGTGACAGCAGATGGTGGTGACCATCTCCGCAAGGTGGTGACAGCAGATGGTGGTGACCATCTCCGCAAGGTGGTGACAGATGATGGTGGTGACCATCTCCGCAAGGTGGTGACAGCAGATGGTGGTGACCATCTCCGCAAGGTGGTGACAGCAGATGGTGGTGACCATCTCCGCAAGGTGGTGACAGCAGATGGTGGTGACCATCTCCGCAAGGTGGTGACAGCAGATGGTGGTGACCATCTCCGCAAGGTGGTGACAGCAGATGGTGGTGACCATCTCCGCAAGGTGGTGACAGCAGATGGTGGTGACCATCTCCGCAAGGTTGTCGTCCTGCCGAGCCCAGACGCCAACGCTTCGGTGCACTGGCGCCTCAGCACCTCAAAGTCCATTAATCGATGCCCGCTGTTCACATTCCTCCCATTCCAAACGCACCCTGGAAATTTCTTCGGAATGGCAACCTATAATGATGTGCGGGGGGGGGGATCTACATTACGCTTCGCTTCTAGCCGCGCTCTCGTTCGTCGGTGGGAGGGGAGGGGCTACCCGACGCTCCGTCTCGACGCGAACTCTCGTTCGTCGGTGGGAGGGGAGGGGCTACCCGACGCTCCGTCTCGACGCGAACTCTCGTTCGTCGGTGGGAGGGGAGGGGCTACCCGACGCTCCGTCTCGACGCGAACTCTCGTTCGTCGGTGGGAGGGGAGAGGCTACCCGACGCTCCGTCTCGACGCGAACTCTCGTTCGTCGGTGGGAGGGGAGGGGCTACCCGACGCTCCGTCTCGACGCGAACTCTCGCTCGTCGGTGGGAGGGGAGGGGCTACCCGACGCTCCGTCTCGACGCGAACTCTCGTTCGTCGGTGGGAGGGGAGGGGCTACCCGACGCTCCGTCTCGACGCGAACTCTCGTTCGTCGGTGGGAGGGAGGGGCTACCCGATGCTCCGTCTCGACGCGAACTCTCGTTCATTGGTGGGGCCGGCCAGGGCCCGCTGTTACCGGGCGTTCTGAGTTTGCCTTGCAGTAACTGCACACAAGCAGACTGGCGGATGTGGTTGGTTTCCTTCTTGTTACTGGACGTCACGTTCTTTATTCGATAGACGCAAGAACACCCGTTTGCGGACAACTATTGGTAGACCGTCATGTGAGAAAACGAATGTGGTGTCGCCCCCCCCCCCCCCCTCCTTCCTGCAGCGTGCGGATTAAGTTTCCTGTTTTGATAGGGTTGATACACGACAAGCATCAGCACAGTAAGCAGATCACGAAACGCCTTCACCTTTCAAGTAACATGCAACCTGATTTTGAAGCTCACAGAGAAAAGCTCCAAGAAAGGAAATCACTTATTTTCGTGCCTTCCTGTTGTCATCCAGGTGTTCGTTTCCCCTTCTCCATTTTGTTTCAAACCAAGGCCCGTCAAAGCCCGCTGTCGTTCGATTGGCCTTTGTGGTGTCTGTGGCCTCATTTATCTCTTATTAATAGCCATGTTCATAAGTGCTGCCTACAAAGCTGATCTTATTGTTTAATGACATGAGGTCTGCGGAGTTGCGGCCATGTTTTTTGCGGATGGGTTACGTCCTGTTGCTTGATTTCGCTCGATCTTGCGACCCACCACTCATTTGCTGAAAAACTGTGCTTTAATCATAGTTCCACTTGGATGCAGTTAAGAAATGGCTTATTCTGGCTCAGTTATTCATGTAATGGCCATGCATTTTTGTTTTGAGGTATTGCGCACTTAGCGTTATCAATGCAGGTGTTTGGTGGTATCTACCAATACAGTTCACTGAATTTCCTCGTTTGTCGCACGCATTCCACTAGAGATGCGCTTACTGCGTGATCGAAGAAGCTGTCCGGCTTATTTTTAATTGCGTAAAATGGCATGGCAGATGACTCGGAAAGGCATGTCTGAAATGTCAAGACGCTGCTCAGTGTCGTGTCTAGCCTTATACCAGCCAATTTATGCGAGCACACCCCACTTATGATGTGTGATGTTTAAACTCAGGGTAATATTAGCCGGGCAGAACGAAGCCCAGTACAAATATTGCAGTGTATTGCCGAACATCTGCAGAATGTGCAACTATATGCTAGAACTTAAGCTTCTACTAAAAATTCGATAGCGTGCTTTTTGACGGCGAATTAGTTTCGAGCTGATGTATGCGTTTTGTCCAAAATGCTTTGCAAAAACAAAATCAAGGAAATGAATATTGCATTACACTTATAGCATGCATAGGCTGCAGTACACGATCCA